TTTTATCATTTTCTATTTCTACAGTGAAATGCAAGTTTTTATGTAAATTATTTAAATATTCTAAAAACTTAAAGAGTAAAGTTCTATCTCCCTCCCAAACACAAAACATATCATCGACATACCTGATCCAACTTGGATATTTTCTTTGAAAAGGTTATTATCATTAATAATAATATTATTTTCAATGTAATCGAGAAAAATATCAGGTATCAGACCTGATGAAGGCATTTCCATAGGGAGTCCTTCTTTGATTTTATAAAACTCGTTAAATAAAAACGAAAAAATAAAAAGTTTTGAGTTGCGCAACATTTTAACGTATTTGTTTTGTCTATTTTCATTTATATATAGATTCAGACTGATGATGGGGTTGATACCCGAAACTAGTATCTAAATTATAAAATTTTTCATGAAAACGAAACAAATGAGGTATTACAAAACAGACGTGACCATCTTGGCGGAGCGAGAAGAAGAGACTGAAAAAATTTTTATTTGTATTCAACCACAGTTTTTATATTATTTCATTGTAACTTTATTATACGCATCACGTTTCATATCTCCTCCATATTGGTTTTTTATGAATTTAACGATATTTTTCTGGATATTATGTAAGATTTAAAATTGTTCACTTTTTCAAAAAATTTTTTCAACATTTCAAAAAGTTTTTTCTAATGATTACATCTGTTCGCTTCACTTTTTGACATTTTCGGCTGAGGATGAAGTTGTAAACTTCGAAACCGGTCCCGATTAAAATAATTCTGCAAGTGCGAAGTTCACATATTTCGTTTTATTTTCATATTCTATTCGTTAAATCCACAATAATCAAACTTGCGGAAATAGGTTTAAAAAATCATAACAACCTTGTTTGTGGGAAATAAGAAATTATTTATGGCACATTGAATGCTGATAAAATTAGCGTTAAAATGTTGTTTGTTGCATCTTTATATATCAATTTGTTCTTGAGATACAACGTTTTAAATTCTATTGGTGAAATTTACAATAATCAATCATGCAGAGTTGGGTTCAAAAAATCATAACAACCATGTTTGTAGGAAATAAGAAATTATTTAAAGCACATTGAATGCCCATAAAATTAGCTTTAGAATGTGCTTTGTTTCATTTTTATATCTCAATTCGTTGTTGAGATACAACTTTTTAAATCCTTTTCTTCAAATTTACAATAATCAAACATGCAGAGTTGGGTTTAAAATATCACAACAACCATGTTTATGGGAAATAAGAAATTATTTATGGCACATTGAATATTCATAAAATTAGCTTCAAAAAGTTCTGTGTTTCATCTTACTATCTCAATTCGTTCTTGAGATACAACTTTTTCAATGCCATTCTTCAAATCTATAGTAATCAAACACGTACAGGTGTCTTTATAAAATCATAACAACCATGTTTGTGGGAAATAAGAAATTATTTATGGCATATATATTCAGGGTGATATATAGGTCTAAGTTGTTGAATGAACAAAATTGTGATGACATATGAACCAATTATCTCTTTTTCTCTTTCTCTTTCGTTTTTTTTCTTTCTCTTTCTTGTATTGTAGTTTCGTGTTTCTTCTCCTTTCCTTGTCTTAGCTCTTCTTAATTATTAGATGGCTTTGTCTTACTGATATGTATAATTGCTATTAGTTTTAAGTTTTTGGTAACAAGAAGTCTTTCTATTTCCGTCTGCCATCATGAAGTTTTAGTTTATATATACAAAATGTAGAAAAAGGACCAATGAAAAACAGCTGACCCACTGGAAATGCTGACTTGGTCCTTTATAACTCATGGCAATCAAATTTTTGTTTTATTTTAGTTTTTAATTATTTTGTTATGGGAGTTTATAATGGTACTATGGGTTAATAAACATTATTATTACTATTATTATATTGAATACTCATAGAATTAAGTTTAAAATGTAATTTGTTTCATCTTAATATCTCAATTCGTTCTTGAGATACAACTTTTTAAATTCTATTCGTCAAATCTATAATAATCAAACATGCAGAAGTTGGGTTCAAAAAATCATACCAGACATGTTTGTGGGAAATAAAAAATTATTTATGGCACATTGAATACTCATAAAATTAACTTTAAAATGTTTTTTGTTTCATCTTTATATATCAATTCGTTCTTGAGATAAAACTTTTTAAATTCTATTCGTCACATCTACAATAATCAAACACGCAGAGTTGGGTTTAAAAAATCATAACAACCTTGTTTATTGGAAATAGGAAATTATTTAAGGCACATTGAATACTCATAAAATTAGCTTTAAAATGTCCTTTGTTTCATTTTAATATCTCAATTCGTTTTTGAGATACAACTGTTTAAATTCTATTCGTCACATCTACAATAATCAAACATGCAGAGTTGGGTTTAAAAAATCATAACAACCTTGTTTATTGGAAACAGAAAATTATTTATGGCACATTGAATACTCATAAAATTAGCTTTAAAATGTCCTTTGTTTCATTTTAATATCTCAATTCGTTCTTGGGATACAACTGTTTAAATTCTATTCGTCACATCTACAATAATCAAACATGCAGAGTTGGGTTTAAAAAATCATAACAACCTTGTTTGTGGGAAATAATAAATTATTTATGGCATATTGAATACTCATAAAATTAATTTTAAAATGTTCTTTATTTCATCTTAATATATCAATTCGTTCTTGAGATACAACTTTTTAAATTCTATTCGTCACATCTACAATAATCAAACATGCAGATTTGGGTTTAAAAAATCATAACCTTGTTTATGGGAAATAAGACATTATTTATGGCACATTGAATACTCACAAAATTATCTTTAAAATGTTCTTAGTTTCATCTTAATATCTCAACTCGTTCTTGAGATACAACATTTTTAATTCTATTCGTCAAATCTACAATAATCAAACATGTAGAGTTGGGTTTAAAGAATCATAACAACCATGTTTGTGGGGAATAAGAAATTATTTATGGCACAGTGAAGTCATAAAATTGGCTTTAAAATGTTTGTTTCATTTTTTTTTGAATCCTAGAACTAAAAAGTTTCAGTCAATTAAATAAAACAAAATTTTCCTCTTTCTTGTTATTTATTTTATTATGCTTCTAAATCGATTTCGAGGAAACAAAAAATAAAAAGAACTGGAAAACAATTAAAGATATTAGAGATAAACTCAAAAATAATAATGCTGTATTTACCAGAGGAGATAAAGGAGCAGGTATAGTAATTTTAGACAGGAAAGTTTACAATGAAAAAACAATTTCATGATTTCTTGATTAAAAATAATTATATTGAACTAAAAAACAATCCTTTAGAAAAGATCATTAAAAATACTAGAAATATAATTAAAGAATGTAAAGATACTTTAATTCAATATACTCCTTTTCTTAATAATTCGGAAANTTCTTGAGATAAAACTTTTTAAATTCTATTCGTCAAATCTACAATAATCAAACATGCAGAGTTGGGTTTAAAAAATCATAACAACCATGTTTGTTTAATATAAGATATTATTTACGGCACACTGAATAATCATAAAATTAGCTATAAAATGTTCGTTGGTTCATCTTAATATCTCAATTCGTTCTTGAGATACAACTTTTTAAATTCTATTCGTCAAATCTACAATAATCAAACATGCAGAGTTGGGTTTGAGGGAAATAAGAAATTATGTATGGCACATTGAATACTCATAAAATTAGCTTTAAAATGTTATTTGTTTCATCTTAATATCTCAATTCGTTCAAATTCTATTCGTCAAATCAGTGGCGGACTAAGGCTAAAGCGGGCCCTAGGCTACATTGTAATTATGGGCCTATTTCTCAGTCATGACACATACTTTGCGTTTGGTAGTTTGATTTTAAAGCATATGGTATGTAGTTGTTCTATTTAATTATCGGATTCCAAGAAAAAAGGGAAAATAACAAACAATAATACTTAAACATATAGGTATACCCAGATTGATTAGTTATATTGCCTTTTTTCTCACTTTTAATACTGCAAACTCGCCAATTAGTTTGTCATAATTAATAGAGTTATTTAATACCTCTTGTTCTATATAAAGTAATGATAAACTATTTAATTTTTGTTGGCCTAATGTGGATCTTAAAAAATTCTTTATTCTGGCCATTAGGTACTGAGAATGATCTTTCACCGCTTGCATTGCGTATTGGAAGGGTTAAATAAATTCTCAGAATTATGTTTAAATTAGGGAATGTTGCAATAATACTATTCCTGAATATTATCCTCTACCCTGAATAAATGACCACATGGATACAGCCGAAATAATATTTTCAGTTTCATTTTTACTTCATTTTTCAGTTCTGCTAGGTTTAAATCTTGTTCATAACATTTTAATTCCTCTATTGAAGAGTCATCAACATCACTATCATGAAATTTTTTAATAGTTTTATATGCCTCAGATCTTTTTTTAATGTTGCTAATTAAATAATACGTTTCAGCAATAATTATGAATACCACGTTTTTCTGCTAAATGGGCCCAAGGCACGTGCCTAGGCCTTAGTCCGCCCCTGCGTCAAATCTACAATAATCAAACATGCAGAGTTGGGTTCAAAAAATCATAACAACCATGTTTGAAGGAAATAAGAAATTATTTATGGCACCTTGCATACTTATAAAATTAGCTTTAGAATGTTCTTTGTTTCATCAAAATATCTCAATTCGTTCTTGAGATATAACGTTTTAAATTTTATTTTTCAAATCTACAGTAATCAAACAGCAGAGTTGGGTTTAAAAAATCATAACAACCATGTTTGTGGGAAATAAGAAATTATTTATGGCACATTCAATACTTATACAATTAACTTTAAAATGTTCATTGTTTTATCTTAATATCTCAATTCGTTTTTGAATCCTAGAACTAGAAAGTTTCAGGTTTAGTCCTTAGTCAGGGTTTTGTGATATCAAATACAAAGAACACAACTTTCTGGATTAAAAAGGATGTAGCAAAAAGGATGGAAAATAATTTGTTATGCAAATGACAAGCAAACAACCAATTATACAAGTTTATTTTAACAAAAAGGGCTAAAATTACAAGAAACCATAATAAATAGGAACAATGCAATATCTTTTTTAAATTTTAAATGTTGCTTCATTCCTTTTAACAATCAGTCAGTTAAGTACATATTTGCACTACTTAATTAATATTTTTTTATAATAATTATCAGAGTCTATTAACTGTATTAAAATAAATTATTTAAAAAACCGTCCTATATCACATAACAAGGGTGAAAAAAGTAATAATGTTAATAAAATGTAATGAATTAAGTTAAATTATTAGCAGCTTTATTTTAGCTTTATGTTTATCATTATTTTTGTATTTTTATGTTATGTATAAGCTCTTTAAATTCCACACAGTGGATACAATATCGTCTTTATTTTTTAAGGAAACATTAAACACTAATAAAAGCAGCTTCTGTAGATTGCTTCTTGAGTAATAATAGCTCTCTAAATTGTACTATAAATCTCGTTTTCTTTCTTTTTTAATTACTTTAAAAAATTGTTTTAAAAAAAGTATTGCTCCAAACTTTATTAACAAAAAAAATAGAATTAAATTGCACTTAATCTTAAAAAGAAAAATAATTAATAACTTTTTGTCACTTATTTCTCTTTGCTTTGTTTTAATTAACGTCTCGAATGTTCCGGAAGAATTTTATTTTCTTTTTTTTTACCGTTTTCTTGGCCAAAAAACAACCAACTTAAAACATTTAACGAATCTCGCGAACGGAACGAAATCGAAACGATCGTTTAGTAGATGTCATTGTGATTTCATGCTGACCAATTTTCGGCTACGAGCTCGAACTTCCTGCCTTGTATTTGTGTACTCAAACCACAGCACATTTGGAATTAATGTTGTATCACGTAAAAGAAGAAATTCTGATATTTTCCTACAAATTTAATTAAAATAAATTAAATAAATTTAATTTGATTGACTCACCAAGTAACAATTCTTGGAAATAAAGGTGTAAAAACCAAATAAGTCAATGAAAACCAAACTGTGGCAAATAATGCACCAACAAAAGCTCCACAAATAACCTGTGTGATTGTATGATATTGTAAATAAACTCTACTTATACACACTAAAACTGCTGCCAATGTAGAAGAGGATATAATTAATATTTTTGAAACGTTTTCCATTATAGTATTATTATTCATATGATGTAATCTAAAAGAACAAAGAATTAATCACTTTCTATTTTGATTTAAAATTCCTTACCTTATAAATACAAAATAAATAACATAAGTAGCAAAGAACCACATAAATTGGGCATGAGATGAAGGCATCCCGTACTCATTATAAACAACATTTCTTGCCATAGGTCTTGTTTCTTGTATCGCATGTTTTAAAAAGTAATTCAACATTTCACAGAGTATTGTCCCACTAAAGAATGTGATGGTGTGTAAATCTCTTCTAAATAATATTAATGTTAAAAAACCCGAGCCGATACCGAACGGAGCAAGACTTATAAACGCTAAAAATTTGCCGATAATATCCCCTACAATAACAAGAATATAAATAGAGATAAAGATACAAAGAAGAGAGCATAAAAAAGCGATCAACGGTTATTTCCGTAACACAAAAGGCGTACGAATTTTTTATAAATTAAATTACCTTGAGGATATTCCACTAATGTTAAAGAAAACGGAACCCATTCTAATTTGTCGTTTTCGTTTACGGTTTTTGAAAAATAATTTTCGTCCGGAGCAGACGTGGCCATTTTAACATTTTAATTTTTTTTGACAGCTTGAATAAAAATTAGACATCGTGGTTCTCAACATCATGTCGATAAAACAGATTTCATTAGATAACTTTTAATTTTATTTTATAATTAATATATAATGATTAAAAATTAATCAATTAACATAAAAAAAAGAAAATAACATTAATTATTAAATTTATTTTCTTATTATTTATATTTTTATATTCAAAATTAATTTTAATACGTAAAATTTCGGATATGATTCAATAGATGGCGCACCTACAAATATTTAAATTTGATACTTTCATTAATAACATTTTATTTATAATTATTTGTTGTTTTTATTAAATATTGCACCGCGAAATCAATGCTTTTAACGACTCTTAATATCTTGCTCGGTGAAAAGTCATTCAGATCCTTTGGGGAGATAAACTGTGACTAAAAAATCAAGAATCTGATACATTTAACAGTAGGGCTGCGGCCAACGAGTTGGATAACCTTATTACTTTCTAGTTCTAGGTCTAGTGTTAGTTCTAGTTTTAGTGCAATAAAAATATACGACATAGTGATA